TTTATTTATCAAAAACTATGTTATCTATCTTGCTATACTGTTGTTGCTTTTAACTGAGGGTAGAAATTGCCATTTTCTTGTGATAAGAAATTGAATACAATATTCTGTTTCAGCCATCATGGAGACATATACCAGATGCCAAAGACGATTCAATGATCGTGTATCGAGGATCAGATGTGAAGTACAGCTGGGAAGACAACCATCCGACTCTCAAAGGACATAAAATGTGTGATTACGTCAAGGAAGGAAATGAAACAACAGGTGCACTTTCTTTTTTAATTTTTCATCTTATTATTTTGTACTGCCATTGTCTTGTCAATAGTCATTACACTTTTGTGTACTACTCATAGCAGTAGAAAGGGTTTTTTTTTATATTCACCCGTGTAATTTTACTTTTAACCCAAAGTCTCTGGGAAATTGTGTTCACTGTAGTATTGTTTTGTGAAATGGCTCTGCAAGAGTCTATTAGTAGACTTTGTGACCTCACCTGATTTCACCTTTCCTTGAGTTTGCAGGAAAAGAAGTATTTTTTACTAATGCTATCAATATCAGTGCTGTTATTTTTATTATAGACATTATAATTATTGTAGTGTTATTAATATTACTAACAGCAATATTAGATACCAGGAAATATTTTCAAAATTCAAGGAAAATGGTAAATAGGTGAGACAGGTAGTATATGTAATTGGCTCCTTAGTGGCTTCATACTTGTGGAGCCATCTGTGTGTAAAAAGAGTTGATAAATTCAACTCACTTTGGGCATAATATGTATGTACATACCATCCCCAATAGCTTTGGGTTTAGAATAAGGTCACACTTGGGCTTTCCCATGTGGATTTACTACTTTCAGAATTATAGGACGACCATACTACTGCTTCTCTTTTTCTTTCTTTTGCTCTAGTACACATGTTCACTGTACTGCTCATAGTAGCTTTGCTCTTTTTGCCTTCCCCTCCTCCATTTTCTTCTGGTACTGATGTCTGTGTGTGTTCGTATGTCACAGAGATGGATGAAGAAGAAGAATGGATAGAAGGTTATGAGCCTCCCATCGAAAGCATTCCTGAGACTCTGCCTGAGGAGCTCAGCCCCAAAAGGAGAGTCAAGAGACAACAGGCAGAACCTTACAACTTCAATGGGGACAAGACACGATGTCCGCTGTTACTAGTGGCTGATTACCGCTTCTTCAGGGAAATGGGTGGCTCTAACTATAAGACCACAGTCAACTACCTGGTGAGTTAGTTCCCCTTTTAAGGCTTATATCTTGCTTTATACCTGAAATAGAAATGTTATAGGCTAGCACCCTCATATTTTTGTGGCTGAATTTAGGAGAGTAGTGTAGTGCAACCATAGTTTTGTGAATCTGGATACAGTTTTCTTTTGAACATTTTCAGATCAACCTCATTGATCGTGTGGACAAAATCTATGAAAACACTGTTTGGAAGGATGGGGTAGACACAGCAGATTTTTCTGGCATGGGCTTTGTCATTAAAAAGATTTTAGTGCACCAGGAATGGTCACCTGTAGGTTCTAACCAAGTTCACTATAATATGGAACGCAGCTCATGGGATGTGCGTAACCTCTTGGAGGTAAGTGTCATAATGCAAGAAAGTATGTGTTGCAGGAGGTCCCTACAGCAAAGAATACATTGATAAACACAAAGACAGTTAAATGTATGGGAGAAGAAAAAACATGCAATAAGAAGTTTATTGGAAGATGGGAAATTTGAAAGGCCTAAATTTCAGGTCTCTTGGGCTTTTAGGACTGATTTCTCCTCTTTCATTGAATTTCTTTTGTGTCTAGTGGGCTTCTCTAATTTAATCAGTACACAGTAGTAATGTTTTGCCAGTCAATTATATACATATTTTGTGCTTACACATTTACTTTTGTAATATTTGGAACTAACAAATTAAGTTGCATGCATTTTTTTAAAACATGCATCTTTAAATCATTAACAGTTGTTGGATGTAAAATTTGTATATGTGTGATGTTTAAGGTTATAAATCCATTTTTTGCTAAATGATTTAAGAAAATGCAAAGTACTAATATTGCTCCCTGGGACTGCTTAAACCAAAGTGATATGGGTGGTGGTTCAAATTATTTTTCTTTCTGTTGTTTTGACAGGTAGATTGCATTGAAGTTAACTAATTTTTTCAGTGGCTTTTGTGGAGAGTGAGAGAAATGCTTTTTATGGCAATCTTATGGTATGCACAGTGTGATGTGCTATGAATATTTAAGTAACTAAAGGGAAGAGTGGCTTTTCTATGCAGGTGTGCCTTAACTTAACATAATTCAGTTCCAGTTATATTTGATTAAATAAGAATGAAAAAAGACCTGGAATTCAAATGCAGTTCATTTTTCATTCCACAGTAGTAGTAGAATATGTACACAAGTAACTGAAAATCAAAAGGTCATGATTCTGTATCAATTATTGTATTTCATGAATTATTTATTTTTATTACATGATTCTCATGATGGTCATTATTGCATCATCAGTACATTA